TTAAACGCCGGAACTACGGAACCAGCCGACGCGACGTTTAACCAAAGGTTCCCCGCGAATTTTCCGAGCTTTTATCTTTTCAATTATCGATGGGTGCAACGCGAGGGTGCAATTTTCGGAATAAATTCATTCGGTGCAGTACATATTCGAGTAAAAATTACATATACGTCTTTGGTTTGATCATTTTTGTAAGGCAAATACTGTACACATATACAGGGTGTATCGAATCAGCTGATCTCGTCTCTCATTGGTCACTGTTTTTCATTAATAACTCGTGGACAAATTCGCGAATTGCATTTATTATTGCATTTATTATTACATATTGTTATATTATTTAGTTATTATTATCTATTATCATTACTTCGAATGACCTCAGGAACCCCCATTTCCGGATTGCGAGACATTTTTGGGACACCCTGTATAAAATGAAGCAGTTACATATGCACGCTCTTCCATCTTTCCTTGGAAAAGCACTTGCTCCGGGGAAAAAATTGAAGCGCTGTTGCTTTTTTTGCTATGTCGAACCTTGCACGTGTAAGAAAACTGAAGAATTTTCGCTGGATCCTATCGCTAATTCGTAACATCAATTCTCGTGTAAAAAAAAGTACTGATCGGAGAACCTAGACAAATATCATGGAAAAAGAGATAAAATATTTACCAGCCAGGAACACCCTGCTCCGAGAACTATTTCTTCATCGGGTACGGGGGTGGTCTGCCTCGCTGACTTCTCCCCATGGTGCGTATCCTACCACCATGAACTCCGAGAGCGTGAAGGTCGAAAACACTGTCACTGATGGAAACTGTACACGAGCCACGAGAAAAATTGAATTATTGTTATCGATTCTTCTTCTTCTTCTTCTTCTTCTTATTATTATTATTATTGTTGTTATTGTTGTTGTTATTATTATTATTACTATTATTATTAGCAAATGTATCCACAAATCGTCATTTTAACAGACCACTTTATGGGAATTGTTATAACGTATTGTAGCAATGAAAAGATTTCTTCTGGTAAAAACAAAGTAAAAATGACGATGGTTCGTTGGCAATTCGGAATGGAAATTTGGCACGCATATCAGGCGCGCGTAAAAATCGGCAGTTGAATTGTTATTATTAAACGATATCGGTGTCGGTGCGCGATGCCGATGCCGATGCCGATGGCAATGATATATGTATGTATTGCAGAGAGCCCGCGAGCCTCCCATATGCCGCGTAGCCTCGCCAAGCCCAACAGCTGACTGCTCTTCCGACGCTGCGCGACGCGACGCGACGCCGCGTACGCTAATCACTAATTACACAGCATCTTAATTATCGTCTCATTGTTCGAGCCGGGTGTATAAATAAACTACGAGAGTGTGCGACAGCGGCGGGCGCACTGTAACGGTTTCATCTACGCGCGGCCGAGTCTTAAACCACCGAGCTGCCCGCGGTTTCCCTTTGATGTGTTAATTGGCGCTGTTCCACCCTGTTCCCGAGAACAACCGATCTTATTAGGCTGGCGAAAGTTTCTTCGTTTTTCCCTTGACCCGGTCACTCGATCGAGTTCTCTGCTCAGACAGTGGATAACACTGTCACGACCGCTCTTTTTACGACTCATGTTATTTCCAATTTCCGATTTCCGACCAGGTTCAGAAACTTGTTTTCAGGTATTTTTTATTTTACATTCATTGGGAAGAACACAAAAGTTACTCTACAATCTCTAAGACAGTTTCACCGAGACAACTTTTGTGGCCATCGTAACACGGTCCCCTCGAAACAGAGTAAATCCTATTCGAAACATTTTCTTCTCCGATGAATATTCGAGGAAATCGATTCTGAATAAGAGGTATGATAAATATATAAAATATAGAAGTCCATAAATGTTATAAATATATAAAATATAAAAGTCCATAAAAGTTATAAATATATAAAATATAAAAGTCCATAAATGTTATAAATATGTAAAATATAAAAGTCCATAAAAGATATAAATATATAAAATATAAAAGTCCATAAAAGTTATAAATATATAAAATATAAAAGTCCATAAATGTTATAAATATGTAAAATATAAAAGTCCATAAAAGATATAAATATATAAAATATAAAAGTCCATAAAAGTTATAAATATATAAAATATAAAAACATTATTAAATATATGAAATATAAAAGTCCGGTATATTCCAGTTAATGGACCCGACTTAATACTCCATTTTATATATACCATAATATGTACAGGTTGTCCCAAAATTATGGTACTTCAGGGAAATGAGGGGTTCCTGAGATCATTTGAAGTAACTTTTTCCTTAGCGAAATTGCAATCCGCGGCTTCGTTTATAAGAGTTATTAAGGAAAAACAGTGACCAATGAGAGGCGAGCTTGGCTGGCGCGCGGCGGCGGAACCAACGAGTGCACGGAGCTCGGTTCCGCTCATTGGCCTGGTCGCCTAGCGCCGAGCGAACTCGCCCCTCATTGGCCAGTGTTTTTTTTTATGAATAATTCGTTAACGATGCCTCGGAGAAAACTTTTGTAAAGGAAAAAGGTTCTTCAAATCACCTCATAAATCCCTTATTTCTCGAAAATACCATAATTTTGGGACAGCCTGTATATTATATATATCATATCTATTATCATATATTATGATATATATAAAATGAAGTATTAAGTCGTTATGTAGTATTATGTAGTTAATGTACCCAACTAGTACACTATATTATATATAATATATACTATATTATAGTATAATATATATTAATATATATTATACTATAATATCTGTCTCTTATACACATCTAGATGTGTATAAGAGACAGATATTATAGTATAATATATATTAATATATATTATACTATAATATCTGTCTCTTATACACATCTAGATGTGTATAAGAGACAGATATTATAGTATAATATATATTAATATATATTATACTATAATATCTGTCTCTTATACACATCTAGATGTGTATAAGAGACAGATATTATAGTATAATATATATTAATATATATTATACTATAATATAGTATAAATATATTATAATATACTATATTATATGCATACTACACGTGCTGATATTCGGATTAACAAGAGCACGGTGAATATTCCAGTTGTTTTTGCTTTAGCGTTTTCAGTAGAACGGCGACGGCGACCCAATAATTTGCCAGGTCAAGGGAAACAATAGTAAATCGTGGCTAGTCCCGATCCCGATATCGACGCGATTCTGTCCACCGCAGGGTCGAGTTCAATATTTTTTCTCCTGAAATGGAGAAGTCGGATAAGAGGGCCGCGATCCGGAACGAGGGTAATCGCGAACCGTCACAGTCGGAATTGTAAACACGGCTTAAAGTCTAGATAGACGAATGCGGCGCCAACGTAACGCTGACGCAACACGTAAGAGAAAAGTAAACGCGAGATGGGCGACGGGAGACGGGAGACGCGAGGCGGGAGACGAACCAGATCCAGACGTCGCGTCTCGCAACAAAAGGTAACGTCGTGTCATCCTAGATCCAGCGGAAAAACAGACGGCTGATTCGATCGACTTTCATTTTCCTGAAAACAATTACGTTCTTTTTATCGACTTTTGTCGGTCCTTCCCCCCTGTTCCATTCAATTCTTCCAATCGTTATACTTTTAGGAGATGAAAGAGTGCATAGATATTTTAAACTTAATTAGTTTTACAGTCGGAGCTAAAAGTTTCAACAGCATCGTAAATATATTTTTCTGCTTTTGGACGTTCTACATTCCGATTTTACTTCATCCATTGTGCCATCTCTGTATTAAGAACAGCACTTTTCGATGAACTTCGTACAATCGATACGACCGTTGAATTACTATTTAAAAAATGCCTAATATTAGACTTTATTAAATACCTTTGTAAAACGAAGTGTAATCAAGAAATTTCCACCTTTTTCTCGCAGCATTTGCAAAGAAAATATCGGTAGATCTTCGTGAAAAAATAGAGAGAGAAGTTGACCTTTAATAATTTCTTTTAACAAATATTCGCTAAGCGTATTAACTTCAGATTCTTCTGATTAACACATGATTGGTTGTAATTATTAACCAGTTAGCTGTGACGACTCCTTTTCAGAGCGCGCACTTATGTGTATCGCGAGAATCAAGCGATGACGAGTATACTCGTCGAACACAGAGTAAGTGTCGCTGTCAAAATATTGGATCAGAAAGACGGTTTTATTTTATCAAATTAACTATTTTATTACTGATATTTACTTATTCACTTAACATTAACATATACTACATACACAATAAACGAGAAACGCAGAAAAAATCCAATACTTATAAAAGTTAAAAATTCAAATTGCTGCTATAGAGTGGTATTCAGCAAAGCAAGGAACGATACGTAATGGCACTTTGCACGTCGAACACCGATATCGTGATTTTATTCTAATCTTATTTCTATAACAATGTGAACACTTTCGTGTAGGATTGGTCTCGAAATGTTCTAAACGTCTTGAAATTTGAGAACATGTTTTTGTTTTCACTAAAATTACAATTTAAATAGCCAATAGTCACTACTTTTCACGCACGACGAGTATACTCGTCGTGACGCAAAATACTGCCACTTCTCCATGATGAGTATACTCGTCAAACACAGCTAACTGGTTAAAAGGCGTTCGACTGCCTTTGTGATTCAATTTTCGTACAATCATTTTTAGTATCGAGTCGTTGAATCGACCGATATTCGACCGCGTAAACAACAAAATTTAATAGAACATGTTTCTCCAATTTTTAAAGGGTGCAAAATTTAGAATTATTTATTGCGCGAGGAGGGTGGTGGGGAGAGAGAGGAGGATGTTGAAAAATATGCGGGAATTTTGGAATATTCTCGTCGGTAATACTTATTTAGTTGGCATTTTCCAATAGTTTTCATGGTCTAATAGTCTATATGGTGATTTGTCGGTCAAACGACTGCTATAAACGACGCTCGACCCAAACGTTAAGTTCGATTCATAATCGTAATATTATCCCACATGTGTGTTGGCCCTTACGTCAAGCTTGAAAAACGTTCGTTTCTTTTGTTTCAGAAGACATAATCGGAGTTCATTGCACGCATGGTATAAATCGCACCGGATACCTCATTTGTAGGTTAGTACCCTTTCTATCCATTCTTTATTAACTGTTGATTATTGCTCGCCTTACGCGAGTCGATTATTCGATTTAGTATTAATCGTAAGAGCGATTCTTTTCGATCGATAATTATTTGAGATATCGTTGTCGTTTCTAAATGCTATGTGCGCGTGTTTGTATATACAAATTTATATCGTGATCATAAGCTCGATAGATGTTTCTTTTGATTTTGTCTCTATAAGTTTATTCGGTATTGGCCAGAGTAAACACGCTTACTATTTTTTACTTCCTTTTTTCCAGATATCTTGTGCAACAATTAGGGTGGGACCCTCAAGAGAGTTTAAAAGGCATGTGATTTTTATAGTTTTCTATTTCGGACGATCGTATTCGATACATATTTTTCAATCGATCAATCAATCAATCAATACAGGTTGACGTCTATCGTCCAGACTTAATCCAGAATTACTTGAAACTAATTCGTCCAACGTGCAGAAATAATATTTTGTCTATATCATGGAGAAGTGGTAGCGTTTTGCGTCATGACGTGTATACTCGTCCAAACACAGCTAACTGGTTGAATACGAGTGAACTCGTAGTAAACGATATTGTACAATGAAACATTCGATTCAATTTGTTTTTCGAATTCTCTGTAGGTACGGTAGAGCGGCTGCGAAGCAAGGTCACTGAACGTGATTGCCAATAATCGAGCGCGAGCGCGAGCGATACGATTCCGGGGACTTTCCCTATTTATCTCTCCGTGGATTCGATTATGCGGAGTATTTGTCGCGGTGCGCGCGGTCCGCGCGTCGGACCGTGCAGTGCACTCACCGTTCAGCGCGATATATGTATGTATGCATGTGTGTATGTATGTATGTATGTATGCTCGTGGTGCTTGTACGTGGCAATGCACTTCAATGCCGTAGCGCGGCCTACTTAGCAGCCGGCTTGATTAACATCGAGTGATTAATAGACGCTCCCACTGTTCGTGAGCAACCCCAACAGCGGCTGCTTCGAAGATCTAATCGCGCGATATTTATTGCCCTACGCATCCTCCACCTTCGGACCCTCTCCGCGCCGATTTTGCGAATACTTCTTCTCCCTGCCTCCTCCATTCTTCCCTTCGTCCCTCCTTGCCTCCCCCCCTGCTTGCCCCACCGCCCATTTCTTCCCTCGACCCCTTCGTTTTCTCGTTTTTCTTCGCCGCTTTTTATCGTTTGTTTTGCTTGCTTCCTTGCTCGCTCGCTCGCTCGCTCGCTCGAAGCCACCGCACCAAATCTTTTCCTTTCTCCGTACTTTCGTTCCAACGGCACGCAGTTTTTCTTGCTTTCTGTCCGATTAGGAAGCGCCGGCATGCCATTCGATGCGTGCACTCTATTGTGCGGGGCTCGCGCAGTGACGAATTCCATCCGAGAGATGTGGCCGGCAGCGTTATTCCTACGATAAACATAGTTTAGAGATCGCAGCCTCTAGCTGGTAATAATGCATTGTTCATTTTCTCGTGATCTATGCTTAAAGATTTAGCGAAGAATTTCGGTTCGCAGAGCATACGGAGGGGTTAAGCACGATTCAAGCCGAGCGATTAGCCGGTTTAGGCGATTCCTAATTCTTCTCCGCGTGCACGGATCGATAAAAAAGGGTGAAAGGGAGATCGGGCTATCAATTCGACGCCGCTACGCTACGAGCCTCCTAATATTTGAGGGGATGGTCCCTACCTACCGCAGACCGCAGACCGAAGACCGCAGACCGCAGACCGAAGACCGAAGAACGAAGACCGAAGACCGCAGACCGTGCGCGTGTTGCTCTCCTTATGTTTGCGGAATTAATCAGGACTAATTGCCAATCTGTTGAAGGGGGCTCAAGATCTTTCACCAGACTTCGCAGATTTCTATCGCGTCGGAGATCTCCCTGCCACGAGTCCCACGAATCCCACGGTCCATCGGTCAAGATTGCTGCATCCTGCATCTCGCAGATCCGTGCAAATATATTTCATCGATATCGAAATCAATTTGTCAAACTTGTTAAACAATTTTATACATGTATCAAAGCGAAATATTTTAAAGGAAGTTCTTATGTTTTTTTTTGTTTACTTCGACATTCACTCTAATGGTTTCGTTTCCAATTTTGTTAAACACAATATTAACACGGAGTTTGTCGTATTATTTGGAGAATGTGCAGAAACAATGATCATTTCTATTGGAAATGGGTAGATAAATAAAAGTAAAACGCAGTGAATTAAACTTATCCCTTTTAGTTTATTAATTTGATGTACGAGGAAGGACCGTCTTTACTCTCCGGATTGCTCCAGGAGACTGAAGACTATTCACAAAGACGAAACCAAAAACGTCACCTAAAGACAAAGAGCACTCTGTTCTATATACATATGAAATCATTGTTTATCTAATGGTACTCTGGCGAGACTCTCGGCGTCGATTCGTTTTTGTAACTTATATGCTAGAAGGAAAAACTTCTGAGTATTCAAAAGAGAGAAAATAATCCAATAATTTCTATTACAGAAAAATAAGTTGGAAATATATATATTTCATCGATATCAGAATCAATTTGAACACTTGTCAAACAATTTTATACATGTATAAAAAAAAAATATTTTAAAGGAAGTTCTCATGTGTCCTTTTTTTTACTTCAACATTCACTCTAATGGTTTCTTTTCCAATTTTGTTAAACACAATATTAACACGGAATTTGTCGTATTATTTGGAGAATGTGCAGGAACAATGATAATTTCTATTACAGAAAAATAAGTTGGAGATATAAATCTGTATCTGTATTACATCTTGAACAAGCGAATTACTTATTTGTATTTGTAAGCGTTAAGATGAAATATCTGGTTGATATAACTTTGGGCTTGATATAACCTTCGATCATTCAGATCTTGTTAATCTACGTACACTCATACACGAAAGTATTCGAACGCTTACGTTTCTAACATTCAATTGATAAAATATATGTGTTAAACTGAAGCATTTGATATAATACGACACATATAACAAGGGATGGGTCTTAAGACTGCGTAAGCAAAATTAGAAAATAATTCAACAATATATAGCGTTTTTACAGTATATTTATTGTAAACACGTACCAGAAATGGCTCACAAAAGTATCCGAACGAAACGATTAATAGTTATTTAAATTGAACGATTAAAGGTTTTAATAGGAAGTCGATCCACCGTTTGCTTTTATAACAGCCCTAAGTCTGTTTTCCATTGAGTGGACCAACTTGGAAGTAACATTTGCATCAATTGATTGCCATATTTCAATAATATTTCGTTTTAACACTTCTTTCGAAGTAATAACCGTATTTCTTAATCGTCTTTCTACTTCATCCCGTAAATGTTCAATGGGGTTTAAATCGGGACTTTGCGGTGGATGTGGCACCACGCGTGGAACATTATACAATAACCATTCTTTGACTATTTTAGTGGTATGCTTCGGATCATTGTCAGACTAGAACCAATAATCGCTAGGTACATTCAATTCTGATGCATATCCTTTCATTTGAAAGATCTGCACATGCGACAAGTGCACGAATATCCGCAGTCTATCGATAGATTATCGACAGACGTCGTGCACTGTGATTTGAAATTGATTTTGCAAAATCAAACTCCTCGGAACCTACAGTTTCCAAACCTACTGGCAGTCGTTTTCGTAAGAAACGTGTATAGAACGAGTGCAAGCATACTCATTGAAACTCGATCGCTTTCGAGTAGCGTTCGAAGCTCGTGAAACGAAAGTCGGATCTTAAATTAGTCTCGGATCGGCAACAGCATACCGAACTTAATCCCATCCTTATAATTTCACCTAGCATCCTGGAGTCGTCTGTGCGCGTCGCATCGGTGAACGCCCCTGCCGAATATGCACACCGGGCCCAAAATTCCCGCTAAACGGCCGATCGAAAGGGGCAATCGTGGAAACGATGGTAAAAGAAGGAAGACCAAGAGGTCAGAGGAAACGGACTCTTTATGGACTTGTTTGTCGCTCCGCGGCTTTTTAGAAATTATTTGAAAAGTTCGAGTCCACGTCGGAACGCGTTCGCAAGATCGTTTTAGACTAGAGTTTTAGACGATCGCGCGACAGCTAGACGAGCTGATTTCCTCTTTCTGCGGTAATCGAGTATCAAGTACCGTCCGTTGCTCGGGAGAAGTCAGTCGAGAAAAGTGTAGGACCGACTCCCACCAAACCATCCATGTTGACGCCCTCGCAGAGTAAGTAGGGTAAACGCGCGAAATTAACCGCCATACTGAATTTCCAGGAAACGAAGGACTCGACTTCGGCCGATTAGAAAACAAACAACGCCTTCTGACTCGCGTCACGTCTCGCTCTCCCGTGGACGTCATTTTCGGCTGGGAGCGTATCAGACACGTGTGCTTGTGCTTCGTGTGTGCGCGCGCGTGTGCATGACGTGCATGACGTCTACTAATAATTATTAATATTATATATTAATATAATTATTATATATATTATTATATATATAATTATAATATTATATATATTATATAATATAATATATATATATATATATATATATATATATATATATATATATATATATTAATGCACTAATTATAATAATACTAATGTATTATTTACGCGACCATGGACGAGCGAAACGCTCGACGGGAGTCAGGAAGCGTATAACAATCAAGGCAAAGTAAAACGGACGCTACAATTACAAGATGCAAGAGAGTTCACTTAATTCTAAAGCATTAACTTCAGATTCTTCTGATAAACACATGATTGGTTGTAATTATTAATGAACTGTTTACTAATTCTCGATTTTAGCATTTTGATTAATTTTTCATTCCATTGAATAGAAAACGTGCTGTACCATACATACATATAAATATGGAGACACGGTATACATAATTGTAATCGTGGAGCATGCATGGTTTTTGCATGCAAAATATTGGATTAGCAACTAAGTAATTGTCGATTTGTTCAATGAAATAAAAAATTGTTTTTGCTTGGAATGAAGTTTAATCTGTAATGTATTTTCCATTTTGTTCGATGACCTTTTGCCATCTCTCTGACCTGTCTCTTATACACATCTAGATGTGTATAAGAGACAGAGTCACTACTTCTCACGCACGACGAGTATACTCGTCGTGCGTGAGAAGTAGTGACTCTGTCTCTTATACACATCTAGATGTGTATAAGAGACAGAGTCACTACTTCTCACGCACGACGAGTATACTCGTCGTGCGTGAGAAGTAGTGACTCTGTCTCTTATACACATCTAGATGTGTATAAGAGACAGAGTCACTACTTCTCACGCACGACGAGTATACTCGTCGTGCGTGAGAAGTAGTGACTCTGTCTCTTATACACATCTAGATGTGTATAAGAGACAGAGTCACTACTTCTCACGCACGACGAGTATACTCGTCGTGCGTGAGAAGTAGTGACTCTGTCTCTTATACACATCTAGAT